GGGGGGCACGTTTGCCGATTAATAATAGGTGCAGTCCACATACATTTTGGGGGGATTGCGAAAGAGTACTTTTACTTATTTCCAGCGTTGGGCCAGGGAGAATATATGTACTAACATTTGCAGATGACATTTTGTCCTACAGGCAAGAACGGGTTCGGTAGAAAATTACAGATGAATTACAACAAGAGGCTAAGAAAATCATGGAGTGGTGTGCTGAATCGACCGCAGTGATCAATCCTCAGAAGACCGCAGCACTGTGGTGCTCTTTAAACAATTGAATAGTTATAACAGACGTCCCAGAGCTGACGGTAAATGGACAGAATAATATTCAAAGATGTCAATGTCAGAAGTTGCGGTACCTGGGGGTGGTTTTCGATCGCTGTTTATCCTTCAAAGATCACATAGCTGGTGTTGTGGAAAGGGCAAAGAGGGCTTGAATGCAGTGAAGGTCATGGCGGCTTTAGGAATGGAGCAAAGGCTACTGCTTCTATCAGCAGCTTGTCTTGGCAGTAATTGATTATGGGCTCGGAGTAGGCCTATTGACCTTAACAAAAACCCAAATGGACAAGTTGGATCGAGTTCAAAATGCGGCCATGCGCATCATACTTGGCTTAACCGGGGAAACGCCAGTTATCTGTATGAGGCATGTATTGGGCCTCATGTCAGTGGAAAACAGACACAATGTGGCTCAGGTCAGGGCGCACATGAGGGTGGCGGCTGATAAGCAACACCCACTTCACGAAGCCATTGGTGTAATTGGAGCAATGAAGGGAAATCGCCTACAACGAGGAGCTTTTTGGATGGCCGAGGCTGAAACACCATCAAGGAAGTCTGCCCTCTGGAAGATGTACAGCGGGGTGAAGAATGGATAATGATGAATGAGAGACAGGAGGCGTATTTTGGGAAGGTAGTGATTATGTTGAACAGAGAATCATGTAGAGAGTGGCCGCAGGGAGCGACAGACCCTGAGATAGGACAACTGTTTGAAGACAACTGACGGAATGGAGATGTGGGTGTATACACAGATGGATTTGTTAACGAAGGGGGGGGGGATGTGGGTGGGGCTTCTCAGCAAGAGTGAGTGGAGTGGTAGATTGGTGCAGGAACAACAGAGAGCACACGATATATGACAACATTTAGCACGAGAATGGAGATTGAGGCTACCACGCAGGCTCTCAAAAGGGTTGCAACAACTCGACAAGCACATGGGATCTTTGTAACACCATCAGAACACTCTGAGGAAGATTGAAAGTGAGAATCTTAGAGCTGGATGGACAGAGCTCCTGAAAAAGACGACACTGAAAAAGATCACCTGCTTGATCTTCAGCTCGGGCCATGCTGGAGTCAAGGACAATGAGCGGGCTGATGAGCTCGTTGGGAAAGCAAAACCTGAAGGAAAGCTGTGCCCTGACAAACCTGAAATTGTGC